TTCGAAACAAAATTTTGAGTTAATATTATGGTTCCCCGTAGCTGCTACACTGCAGAGGGCTACAGATAGACCAAACATGGTATTTTTTCTTATAAGTTTAATAGTCTATAATTCTCGAACTAATAATCGAACGTTTAATTTTTTTTTTATTCCGATGTATTCTCAGAACATTCTTCTACACACCCTCGTAATTTCGTCGAATAATTTTTGAGCAGCAAAACAAACAGGGTATTTTTTTTCTTATAAGTATAAAAGTTGATAATTCTGGAATGTTTAATTTTTTTATTCCTTTGAATTCCCAGTACATTTTTCTACACACCTTCGCAATTTCAAGTTATTAATTCTAATAGTTTTTACGCAGTAAAACAAAATATAACGTTGAACACTTAAAACAGTGATGGCACTTACGAATTTTTAATAGAAAAAAAGATCAAAACTTTTTATAGTATTATTTAATGCATATTCAGTCTCTAATTTTGCTACCGTTTCTAGGTATACCAGATAATTTTGCTTGATCAATCACTAACTTGCGTTACTAATTCTTATTTAATTTTTGGTAAATTTAAAAATTCGATAAATACTTTTATTTTCAGAAGAGAGTATTAAGTAATTAATCCTCAATACTGCTTTAGAATATATTATTTAGTAGTTATTTTGTATTTATTTAGTTGCCAATGATGACTGAAAAACAGTTTTACATAAAATTTGTCACAAAAGAAATCTCTTACCATTTAAAAAAGGTAAACAAAAGCAAATATCTTTATCATAAGGTAATATGAGATTACTTAACTTATAATTTTAAAGGGAAAATTTTCAGTGGAGGATAGTTTTAGCTCTGATTGTAAAAATATCTCGTTCGAGAGAGATGCTTGAAAAACGTGACCATCTTTAAGCACTGTTTAAACTACAGATGATTCTGCTTTTTCAGTAATTAAAAAGATAACAGCCATATTTGCTATCTGACAACTCTGTTAAAAAAATTAAAAGAATTAATTTTAATCCTTTCAGCCAGTTTTGTGCAAGATTGCGTAGAGCTGATTAATACCTATTTATTTTTACTTTTTTCTTCTACCACGTACAAACTGGCATTCAGCTAGTAACTCTGCACCCATAAGCACTCCTTGTGTACTGACGATGAATCTGGCAGTGATTTAAGCTCGGAAATTTCCTGATTGTTTTGCTTGTTAACATAGGAATTCATGCTACCCCAACAATATTTTTCATTTATGGTAAATCTGACACTATAATTCCTTAGGAAGGAAATAGACAGCTTTGATGAGATATGATGTCCTCACAGAGTTTGAATGACTACAACTGATACATTCAGCAAGGCTGTTGGTCCATAGATTTCTTATTTGCTGAATAAATGAGGCATGCTTGATGTTTTCTTCCTTTCCAGCTTAGGCAGCAGAGAAATAACTGCTGCATGCTACTAAATTAACACTATGTTTAGTTTAAAAAAAATAAAAAATTCGTGACGGCCTGCAATTGTTTAAAAAATACTACAGTCTTCAACAAAATTTTAAATAGTTTGTTGCGTTTGAAATATGGATCACAAAATCAAATGTTTGTATTAGTACTTATGGCATGCCTAAGTAATAATTGAGCAATAGCAAACTGACTTTAACTCAGTTTTTTAAAGGCGGTCTGAGCATTATTTGAATTATCTGAGTAAAACTTTAACTTAACAAAACAATTGCGTAATTTTTAATAACATCAATTGAAATTCTGTGGAACATAATTCTAATGTTGTTAAAGCTCATATTCTGCATAAAATAAAATTTATTTAACAGAAATGAAATGGATAGCATGGTATGAATAAATTGAAAATCAAGTGTAATAAAAGAACAGAGGTGACAGAGGAATAAAAATTTCAGCAACGATCCAGACCAATGGAATGAAGGTCACGGCTCACCATAGACAGAACTGCACCAAGAAATATTGAAATTGTGAGAAAAAACAATACTTGAGATAAAACTAATTCCTTATGCTTGTATTTGATATGGGTGTAATCTTTCAAATATAATGAGAATGGGTCTTATTACTTATTAATCTGTTTAATTGTGTATTATACAAGGACCATTGAAGGGCCGGGTAGGGAGAGGGAAGCAAATGGACTCTAGCCCCCTTATATCTCATAAATGAAGGAACACATCCTCTTTTAAGATCACAATTTTACACTCAATATTTGTGCAGTTAAATTTACAATGAAAGTAGAAGATTTTTTTTTGCGTCTGAAGTCTAGAAAAGAATGTCTCTATTTCAAGTAAGCTCAAACATTTCTTTGGCGAAAACAGCTGCCAAATTATCCTTTACTCATCCATTCACAGGGGAAATATATGGCTCTATTGCTGACCGATTGGAAAATTCTTTGTCTCAAATGTTGCAAGTAAAATAAAAAACAAAACAATGAAACAAATAAAAAAATAAATAAAAAAATACTGTTAAATGGGCGATAAATAATTTATAATTTCTTTTATTAATTTTATTTTAATTTTAAATGAATTTGAATCATGAAGTTAGATTTGAAAAATTGAATTCTTGATTGCTCTTTTGAGACGGTTCAGATAATTTGGACCCGTCTAATACTAATATACAGGGAGGGAGTATCAGAATACAGAAGAAACAATATAAATATTAAATGGCCTGTCTAGAAAGCAGGGCACTTTGAATTGTAGTTATAGGCTAATATTTAATTCATTAATTCTTATACTAAAGTTGTCAGTGGTTTTACTTTGATCAGTAGGTAAATAATTTTCTATTAAAAGCAGTTATACAGCCACAGCATAAATTAAACAGTTTAATAATAATAGAAAAAAATCATTTTTAGAAAGCATATAATTTCGCTTTTCCTTCAAATGAAAAAAGTATTCTAACAATGCCAGTATTTGCATCACAGACATAACGCTTCAGAAATCAATTATTAATCCTTGAACATTTTTTTAGGTAAAATCTTTCACATATGCTTATCCATTTATTTATGTTACAACAAATTATAAATGAATACTTTTAGTGACTCATAGTAGTAATAAGAAGGAATTTTAGAAAGCATATAATTTCGCTTTTCCTTCAAATGAAAAAAGTATTCTAACAATGCCAGTATTTGCATCACAGACATAACACTTCAGAAATCAATTATTAATGCTTGAACATTTTTTTAGGTAAAATCTTTCACATATGCTTATCCATTTATTTATGTTACAACAAATTATAAATGAATACTTTTAGTGACTCATAGNTAAAAATGCTTGGACATTTTTAAGAGAAAATCTTTCACATATGTTTATCCATTTATTTAAATTACAACAAATTTTAAATGTCTGAATACTTTTAGTGACTCATAATAGTAATAAGAATGAATATGCAGGATACCTAAAAATTTCTCATTTACGCAGTTCTGCTTCGATGCCAAATCTCTTGTTTAGACAAATTTGTGATTGCAGTTAAGTGCTAATAAAGCAGGCTTCAGACGAACTAGTCTAAAGTGGAGGAAATGTAAACGAGATATGACAGTTCCACTTTTGACCCCCTCTACACCCCATAAAAAATATCAGATTTTACGTATTTTAAAATAAATAATTAATGCAAGAATAATTATATTACTCTATAAATGTAAAAAGCTATGGCATCAATGATTTAAAAAGCACAGTTTTTATTTTAAGACTAAGTTCTTGAGATATGACAACTACCAATTCAAAAAAAAAAAAAAAAAAAAAAAAACAATTCCTTTCTTATTTCATCACAGATGCACTTTATAAATGGCCAGTTCAAAAGTTTCAAATTTTTTAAGAGTCTGGATGACTAAAAGCCTACTGCAGTAGTTAATGTTTAAAACAATGATTCATCTGTAGTACTTTTCAAATAATGTGGATTTTGAAAATATTTCCATTTGCAAAAACTACAATCAACAAAACTACCAACAACCAATTAAAATCTTGATCGTTCAAGTTGGTCTTTCTCCGTGATCTTTTTTCAATTTTTCATGGGTGCTTGGAAGTCATAATTTTGGCATCAATAAAGAAATCATTATTGTATCCTTCTCATTCAGACTGGAAAATATATTGCATGTAAAAAATTCGTGATGCATGTGAAAATTCCAATTAGACATATATCTTTTACTCTTACACATGCTTTGCAGAGTATGTAGATATTTAAACAGAGATACTGCAAAATACAAATTAAGGTTCCTTTAAATCTTGACGAAAATTGCATATGACAGATGGATTGTATAAACGGCACCAAAGGTGGGAGAAAAAATAATTCATTATTTGATGAGACCTAAACCTAAAGGGTATTGAACATAATTACACAAATAGGAATTTATTTAAAAAAGCTAGATTTCTTACTCCATAACCATGCTTATTTAAATTAAAAAGAAACATTTTAGAGCAATCCAAGAAACGAAAAAAAGAGAAAGAAATAAAGAACCTTTTTAACAATAAAACTTTTTAAACAAATGGGCATATTTTTAAATTTTCTTTTTACAATATCTTAAATATTTACTATAAGATTGATATTTAGAAATTCTTGTTTATGTAATAACACTAAGGATCACACGAAAAAGTAGTAGTTACATTATAATATAATCCAGACCACTAATAGCTATATTTTGATGTTCTCTCTTGCTATTTTTTGTCAATGGAGTGAAAGGAGTTTTAGTTTAAAGCAATTACAACAACTTATTAAATTTTTTTCCCCAGATGAATTTCAATATTTTGAGAGGTAAATTGGCTATCTGAGAAAGTTTCCCAACCAGGGAAAAGTTAAAACCAAGAAAATAAACTTCTCATACGGGCTAAGTTTCTTAACAGACTTTACTGTATTTCAGAAAATTCTTCCGAAGTTCGATTGAAAATTCTCGGAAAAGAACACTTCAGTATAAATCTTGTGCTCAATTTTCTTCTTCTGTTGATATAGTAAAATACAACAGAAATAAATGTTTTTTATTTGATAGATTTCATATTTATGTGTATCCAAAGATATTTTATTTATATACTTACCAATACTTTAGTAAATCGTTTCTCCAGCTCATTCTGCTCAGGCATGGGCATCTTCATGCTGTCAACAGGACACTGTTTTAATCTCTTATGCATAGTATTTTGACGAGATGGTCCTGCATTGCCCATCCTAGCATTAGATGTTTTGGGTAGTTCGATCACCATAAGCAATATTTTTATGAGTATCCAACACAGTAAATTGTCATGTTTTCCACTTAGAATTATAAACACAAACGTTATGAGCACTCAGTGGGGTGTGATATCCAATGGTAACAAATAATTGACACATAACCTTTGGGAATGCCGGATAAAAACATTACTATAAACTGAAACACGATCGTCCTCTCCCAAAATTTAATCTGATGTCAGAAATATGAGTAATAAAAATTTATCTGCGCATGCGTCAAACTTTCTGTCTGCTATCTTCAGTTCACTTCGTTGTTTCCAAAAGTTAATACTTTTTAAAATAAAAAAATTTAATGTTTAGGATTTCATTTTTATTCTAAAGCTTTCTAATATTACAAATATCAGTCTTAAATACAGGATTACTGTGAAAAAAATGTTCTCTCTTGCTATTTTTTGTCAATGGAGTGAAAGGAGTTTTAGTTTAAAGCAATCACAAAATTTTCAACATTTTAAACTGCTTAACTTTAATAAACTGAAAAGTTCTAATTTCTTCGTCGATTGTGCATATGCTGGATATCTTTATGTTATAAAACCGTTTAAATACTTTATTCTTTTTATTAAGTGCAAGTTTTTAGTCTGCTTGTCTTTCTTATTTTGTTAATAACTTGGCAGATAGTTTCTGTTTTCATTTATTAATTTTTTTTTACTCTTAGTTCCATTCGTTCAAATTTTTAGCGCAAAATATGATTTTAATTTAAAATTAGTACTTTCTGTTGAAGTTAAACAAGATAGAGTTTACGAAAGAAAATTGTTTTGGTAAGTTAATTATAAAAAATTCTAAGATAAGGTGATAAGGAATATCAACAAAGTCGCAACTATGCACAAAACACTAGGGCCTTGAAAGTGAGATATTTCATAAGATTCTTATTTTTTCTTATCAGAATCTCCCGGTGAAATGGTCGTGGAACGAGAATGATTTTTCTGTGATAACAGCTGGCGTGGGTTTTTTTTAGAATATCTTTCTGGAGTCTCACCTCTCTGTGTATATTTTTTTTTATTGGTAGTCTTTAATTATGGCTTTTAATCAGTTTTATAAATTTTCACATGCCAAAAATTTGATGGTAAACATGGATTCCTATAAAATCATCAATAAATGAGATGGATATTTATTTTATTTATAATTGATGATTACATTTGTTGTGTTTACATATTCTAATATTATTTTTGTACTAAAACTTTTTTTTTCTTTAGAGACTTTTTCCTGGTGTGAGAAAATGCTCCAGAAACTATACAAATACCACAGTGAGTATAAAATTTTCTCTCAAAATCTTTTATACTGGTGTTAAGTCCTTATTATATTTATAATATTTATTAAGTTTGTTATTTTGGTTATTAAAGAAAAATTCACCTGATTTCACCTTTGCTCTCTTTAAATTTTAAAATGTGTTAAAAATTTTAAAAGAATACATATACAAAAGTATACTTAAAAATGTAATATTTTTCCTATTTTTTTATTTATTTATTTTTTCCATTGAAATTCTCACGAATTTAGATATTTTGTAATTACAGGATCTAAAAGAGGTTATGGCGAGATGTATAATAGAACATCAGAAAAAGGTTAAAGAATTTCGGGAAGTTTATGGCAGTAAGGTGATTGGAGAAATTACTGTTGATCAGGTAAGCATAAAGATATTTTCATCTTGAAATTAAAATTCTCATTCATGTTATTAAATTATTTATTTTATTTTATAAGCATCAGTGAACAACTAACCCAATTAAGAGATTACAGCTACCAATGTTCAACTTTGTAGCCTTGTAATTTTGAACCCAATCTAGAAGACAAGGGAACACCTTTATCAAGTATTGAGAGAATTTTGCCTTCGTATAGAATATTCTTTTTTGATGGAACTAACCTGCGTGCATTACAAGGCGACAAAAACCTCCCTTGGTGCACTAGGCGGCAAGGGGACTCTAACCCATGATCCTTTTACCATTGAGAATATTTTATGTCAGCACTGTGGGCGGTGCAAGTCAGGTGCGGAATTTCGAATTGATCAGTCATCACTAGGATTCAAACCCAGTTCACCTCATTGGGAGGCTCTATCCCTTAAGCTGCCACGGTTTAAATTGTTTATTTAATGATATTTTTATATCTAAAAAATTTTAATGGAATGTTATAAAGTGTACATAGCATCCTTTTTTGGTACTAATTATAGGTAATTAAAGCCAAAGAGGACTTATAATTTACTACTGTAACAATAATTTTTATTTTTGGAGTATTATGGTTTCAATTGCATTTGACTTAAAGGTGTCATCACACTGACAATTATTAAATATTTGCATAGACTTAGTAATTTTTGTTGCTAAAATAAGGTTACCAAAATAGGTTGAATTCTACATATTTCTTCTTTATAATACTGAAAAGTTGTATCCGTAATCATCCATGAATTTTTTTTAAATTAATGTTTATTTTATAGGGAACTTTGTTAATTTTAAAAATATTTAGTATATTTTATTTATTATTTTATTTGTTTTATTTATTATTTTATTAATTTACTTTATTGTTTTTAAGGTTTATGGTGGAATGAGAGGCATGAAAAGCTTAGTTACAGAAACATCTCATCTTGATCCAGAAGATGGAATTGAATTCCGTGACTTCACCATTCCACAGATAAAAAAGCTTCTTCCAAAGGCTAAAAATGGAGAACAGCCTCTCCCTGAAGGATTATTCTGGTTACTATGCACAGAAGATATTCCTACTTTAGAGCAGGTGAAGAATAAATATGCATAATTTGTCAAACAGAGTGAACATATTTGTGACTATTCACAAATATATTGAAACTACACAATTTGTTGTTGTGCTTTGTTGAATAATCAGATAACAATTAGACTAAACATTTATAACTAAGAAATTTTTAAAGAATATTTCTTTGTTTCATAATACTTAAGTTTATAATAATTCGATCATCTTGTAGATAATCCTTCATCCAGCTAAAAGTAGAAATAAAATTTACAAGATAAAGTAAATTAGAATGACATAAGTTGAATTTGAGTAAACAAGATAGATTCACCAATGTGAAAAATAATTGTCAGATATTATCTAATCATTATCCTTAATTAAATAATACTTTAAATCACAAAAAATATTGCTCAATTTTTGTTTATGTATGTTATTTTTTATTACTGTTGTTGCTATTTTTTCTTCTTATTTTATTTATTTACTTTTTTTTGGGGGGAGGAGGCAGAATTCTAAAAGTCATTTTAGGTTTGAAATATTTTCTTTTGCAATTAAAATAAATTTTTTCAAAATTTTAAGTAAACAGTACAATTTATATCAAAACTATCAGTTTAGTCTGTGTTTGACTTCAAGATACAAGATCTTAAATTATGAATGCTTTGCATTCGAAAAACAATTTTTTAGTCTGTAACTTATTAAAATTTTATTCATATTTTAAATATGTAGTTATTAAATGCAAATGTTTGTTGTAAGTACATAATAACTATAGGTCATCAGAAACAATTTACACATCTCACTGCTATTTTTATGGTCTAGTGAATTGTTTGTAAATAGATTTTATTTTATAAGTATTTATTTCATTAATAGAAACCTAAAAATCTAAAGTATTTCTTTTTTTCCCTTTGAATTATAGGAGCTTTAATTTTATTTTCAAATTTTCCTCTAACTGAATTTCATAGATTCAAATTGTGCTCTAATTTTTTTAATGCACTTACGATGTCAAAACAGTTTTTCAATCACTAACTCTAAATACCATTGTCCAAACAATGTTAGTTTTCTTTAAGCTAGTTGTAAAATAAGCACAAATGTATAAATTTTGAAAAAAATTGCTGTTTTATTAGTGTAAGCAAGCACTATTATCTGTGCTGAAAGCAAATTTATTTTTGATATTTAGGTAGTCATTGTTTGTCTTAGCACTGTTGATACTCTAATGACTATCAATCTTTTGAACTTGTTTTTGCTTGTTATGTTTTATTGAAATATTATTATGACAAGACATCTATCATTTAAAAAGTTGTCTATTTTATGAATACTAACTATTAAAAAGCACTTATTTATTTTAAAGAACTATTTGGTTCCAATCAGGATTGACTTTGATGCCAGAAATTGGTGTTTGACTTAACAAGTGTCACAAACTGTTTTTGACTTGTCAAGTGCCAAAAACTGGTTTAAACTGTGTAAAAGACATTTAAAACCTTTAAAATTTTAGGAGATATCTGGGTATTAAAAAAGGTAAAAGAGAGGAAGGTGTAAGCAGCTTTATGGTATAAATGTTTAAATCCCATTAAATTAAATTAATAATGAAACTAATTTTGTTATAAATGAAATTAAAATGTTTATGTAGTTAATGTTTTTCATATCTGATCATAAATATTTAATTAAAGGTTTTCAGTTTAATCCAAGTCTATAAATGTCAAAAACTGTCACTTGTCTAAAATTCTCCAACTCTAGTTTCTACAGACTTATAGTTCTTGTTATTAAGCAGTTTTATAAAATTTTTCTATCTCATATGCATTATTAAAATGTTTTGGGAATATTTTGTACAATAATGTAGTATCTATGCATTATTACTTATTTAACAGGCATTTTAATTACATAATTATTAATATGGCATAATTTTAAATGAATTAGATAGTTATGTAATGAAATTGCTTTTAAACTTTATATACGATATATTAATATTTTTTTATTTATATTTAACCAGGTTCAAGCAATTTCAAAGCAGTGGGCAAGTATGGCAGACCTTCCACCTCATGTGGTTACAATGCTTAATAATTTCCCCTCTCATATGCACCCAATGTCGCAGTTTAGTTCTGCTATTCTTGCTTCCCAAACAGAGAGTAAATTTGCACGAGCTTATTCAGAAGGTGTGCCAAAGTCAACCTATTGGGAGGTATTATTATCATTGCTTACCTATATTTAAGAATTGTATTGCTATTATATCAATAGCAAAATACATTATTATTTATTGTGATGCCACAATTTGGCATTACATATGTATTTCCTATCTTTTTAAAATATCCTTCATTACTTAAGCTTATTTTTATTAATAGAATTATTTTTAATANTATTTTTTCCTGAAAATTCAAATTGCGCACCTGAATAATTCTATTTGAGGCGATTATTTTATCAATTTTTTTAACTAAGTTTTTCGGTAGTTGTATCTATTAATTTTTGCATATTTCTTCAAATTTCAATTTTTTTAAATGCGATATTATTTATTACAACACGTGATTCTCCAAACATACATCTAATGAACTTTTTTTTATGCTCCCAATCTGTGTAATTTCGTCGTAAATACATGTTTTTTCATCAATAATTTTTCAGTTATTGCCCTAGATTTCATTGTTTTTTAAATTTTTTTTAAGACTTGTAAACTTCGAAAAAGGAGGAATATGTAATTTTTTTCAATATACATATTTTTTGTGTGTTGATGAAAAAAAATTTGTTAAATAAAAATTTCTCTCTTTAAATTTTATATATCTATGGATAAAAAGAAAAAAATAAGTATGAAAAAAAAATACGTATCATAAAAAGAATTTCAGATAGTTTCTGCAATTACATATCTGAGAAATCTTACATCATAAGTCAAATATTATTAAACAGATTTAAACATTTAAATTAAATTATATTTCTCATAATAATGTATTATTAATGTTATGTTAGCTTAAATTAAGATATCTCATGATTGTTGTAGCGAAAATTTGAATTTCTCTTGAAGTTGTTCTATGAGATCTCCAATGACCAAAATTAACTTTTATTTCGAAGTATTGTACAAGTAATATTATTATACAAGTAATATTTTGCTCTGCTAAGCAATATAATGTAATAATGTTTTTTCTTTATCTGCACTCTGTTAATAATTTATGTAACAGTTAATTCTTACCGATAAATACTAATTTGTGTAAAATTTAAAAAAAAAAATTGAAAACATATATTTTTCTTCTATTTTACTATTTCATGGTAATGAAGCCAGTGTTGCACATCAGCAGTCTTTATTTCTCAAACAAGTTGATACTTATCATTTTGAAGTTTGGTGGGCTTCATGCTACCCAATTATATAGAGCCCTAATCAATCAGGCTTACAGCTCAGTGCTTGTCCATTGTCCCATAAATATAGTTAACAATTTTATGCAATGAAAATAATTAATATCTTCACAAATCATTGTATTTACTTGACAGCCAGTGAAAAAAATTAAATAAAATTTAGTCTAAATATTATATGCGCTATACTTTTGTTAGAGAATCAAATTTTTTTTTTTTGCAGTTAAATGCAACTTTTGGCAAAATTCCCTTCTGTTTTATTCTATGAAGATAGACAAGTCATTTTCAAAAGAGGCTAAAACCTGAGCAAAATCTTAAAATTTAAGCTTTCTTCTACTAAATCTGGAAATATGTATTTTGCAGTATGAATATAAATTAATACACTATATTACATTAATATTATAAGAAAATTATTGAAGTGTTTTATTCTGCTCGAAGGTCAAAATATTTAAAAAAATTCTTTTAGGGCTGTCTAGATTAATCATGTATGCTTAATTTGTATTTATTGGCGAAAATAAAAATGAAATAATATTATTGCCTGAATATGCAATAAATGGACATTAAAACCTAAGTATTTTTTAAGAACTTAACTGTCTATTTTTTTAACAGTGTATGTTATATTATTCATAATTTGATATAATTGTTAACAATTTGATATAAGGGTATACTGATATTTTACCCAAGAAAGTTGAGGTGTCTTTTAGGAGATATAAACAGGATTCCTCTTAATTTACCAAGAGAGACTGGCGTCACTTGTTCTCATATGTTGACAGCCCATAATTACCTCCAGCAGCATTACAATCAAATTGGTGTAATAACTTTTGTAATATCAGTGTAATAACTCTGTTTGGGGATGGTTCTATGAATGGTAATCATCTTGTTTGCTCCGAATCAATTGAAGTTGACATAGAAAAAACTTATCCTTTCAGTATTTTGCATCAATATTGGACAGCCAGATAGTGTATAGCTAATTAGCCCACCTTAGCATTAAAAAAAATTAAAAGATTTAGTTTGATGTAATTCAATTTATAAGCCATGTTCGATATGCAATATGTTACTCATGTTCTAAATATAGTATGTAGTATTCATTTTTTTAAAATTAAAATGTTGCTGTAGCAGTGTGCTGTTTAGTATTTCATTGAGTACAAATTGGAGAAAATATTGTAATTTTGGTTTTAAGATTTGGTTTAAATTTATGTAAAAAAAAAAAATTACATTTCTTTCAAACTTCTTATTTGTGCACATAAGAATTAGAACAATGCAAAAAAATTTTATAAAAAGAAGAAACAATACAGATTATGTCAAATTATTATTACTTTGAAAATACATTATTTTTGCTAATTGAGTATGATCTATGTTTTATATAAAGTTTTTGTTGACTCCTGTTTTTTTTTCTAGTATGTTTTTGATGATGCTATGGAAATGATTGCAAAATTACCAACTATTGCTGCAATAATTTATAAAAATATGTTCAGAGATGCCTCTCCTATATGTCCTATTGATATGGAAAAGGATTGGTCATATAATTTTACATCTATGCTTGGCTATGACAATGTTGACTTCACTGAACTAATGAGGCTTTATCTTACAATTCACAGGTAAACAATGTTAATGTTTTCAAAATATTGTTATATGCGTTGAATGAGGGAGATATATTAATGCTTCTGTTTAACTCTACTCACATATTAAAAATTACTTCAATAATTCAAATGTTGCCCATTGAATTGGGTCCTGATGTGGCTTCCCATTGAATTCTAAAGTTTTCCAAATAAGCAGTTTAGTGCAAATAAAAATGACCGAATATCTCCTATCAATTTGTAGCTCATTTAAGTAAAAAAAAAAACCTTTTTAGCATTCATTTTATTCTTCGTGTGGAATGTGTATTTCTTTTCTGAGGTAGTTTTTAAGGTTGTTTCACTTGAGTAAAATAATAGTAAAGCTTTCTTACAACAGTCTGTTGAGAGTTATGGAGACTAAAGATATAAAATTTTCTGACCAACGGCATGGTGGTGGCAATGTGGCCAGCATTGTGCACTAGCCATCTTTTTTTCCTCGACAGGCTGGCATCCATCATCTGAAGTTGATTGGGTTTCGAGTCGCTAACAGAGATGGATACTCACTCCTTAACAACCTTGTTTGATTAATGTATGGGTAATAAGTTTTCAAAAGAGAATTTAGAGGCAAAAACAGTAAACTGAAATTAAACATGGATTTTAATCAAATTATCTTTTTTAATTTATTTTTAGTGACCATGAAGGTGGGAATGTGAGTGCTCATGCTTGTCATTTAGTAGGAAGTGCATTGTCGGATCCATACTTATCATTTTCTGCAGGAATCAATGGCTTAGCTGGACCTTTACATGGTTTAGCCAATCAAGTAAAGTGTTACGGTTACTTTTATAACTTATAAATTGATATGTTTGTATGAAAAATGAAGATAAAAAACAGGATAGCACTGGAAAGACAAGTTAAATATTTTGTGGAATAATTTCGTTGTTCTTAAAATAATAAAGTGCTGAAAACTTATCAGTAATATTTATTATAACACTTTAGTTTATGAAATATGCTTTTTTTACAGTTATTATCCCTGTAACTGTATTAAATGTTTGAGTTCCAATTCGAAAAAACATTTTCTCATAATTAGCTCATTGTTATTTTAAAAGTTCACATTTAAAATGAAGTTGCCGGCCACTGTCTCTCTGTAAACTTATCATTGGTACTTAAGTTTTTAATAGTTAAAGATTTGAAATCATTAACTTCATTACATCTTTCAAACTTGGAAATGATCGGAGCTTGAGCGATGTATAGCTGTATAAAATTACAACACTTAAATCACTCTATAACTGTTTCAGGAATAGGATGTAATTTATTGATTTAACTGATTCAACTATGCTTACTTCTTTTTACACACTTTTTAATATTTATAGTAGTTTAGTACAAATTTTAAAAAAAATAATAAAAACTATTATAGTTTAATAATATTTTAATTTAATTATAAGTTGAAAATATCTACTTATAAAAAAATCAACTAACACAATAACAATGTTGATGTGTGTTGAATGCTCTCTTTATACTAATTATACATTACATGAATGTTTAAACTGTCAGTAATAGTAACCTATGTACAACAATACTTTTTTATGTTCTTATGTCATCATTATAGGGAGGTTTTATTATATCTTTATAACTGTATAAAGCAAAACACTGGTAGTGCTAATTGTTAAAACTCATATTAAGACCTCTGTGTTACTGCTTCCAATTTATTTTTACATCTAAGTTAAAAAAAAAACACTCCATCCTATATTGCTATTGTGCTGTTTAATATGACTTGTACTATTTACCATTCAAATTGTAAATACATTTAACTTCAGTTGAAAGATGTAAATCCTTACACTTTATATGTTGTGTTATTAATTGACTTAAATTAATTTATGGCTTATGACCTTTTAGAATTTATAAAATACAGAAAAATCTTATGAATAGTAAAATTAATTATAGACTTAAATACAATTTTAATCATAAAATCTAAAATATCAAGTCTGTTAAAACATAGTTTTGTAAACATAACATAAACAAAATGATACACCAGAAGTTTTCAAGATTCTGTCCAGTTTTAGAATTTTTTTTATTGTTTAAAATCAGTTAAACATTCATGTGTTAGTTAACTAAGTATTATATATTTTTTGTTTTTATACTCGCTATTGTAAATTATGTTGGTAATTTTTAAGTAAATTTTAATTGTTTCACAAATAAATAATTTTTAGTTCTAACATATTTTTTTAAAATGTTTTTTAGGAAGTTCTTGTTTGGTTAACAAAGCTTCAGGAACAGCTTGAAGATGATTATAATGAAGATAGAGTTCGAGAGTTCATATGGAATACCTTAAAAAATGGCCAGGTGCTTTAAAATTGCATGTTGTAACATTGGTTTATTCCATTTTTTGCGATACATATTTAAAAATTCTGTTGGTCATGTATTGTTTAAATTTGTACTGTTAAACTGTGGCAGAAGGACATCTTTCTATAAGATTGTAGTTCCGAATCTGTGATATTTTTTGTAAAAATTGAATGAAAAAAAAAAGATATTTGTAATCTTTCTTTTTACAAAAAAAAAAAAAACTTAATTTTTCGACATACGTCATGTTTTTTTCCCTTGCTTAAATTGGCAGATTTTGCACTAGTGAGCAAATATACCATCCAGATATGAGCAAAATAATTATGCCAATTTTATAAATTTCAGAGTATAAGCAATTTAAATTCGCACATAGTAAAATTTATGTTTTTGAAAAGTTTTTAAGCAACTCTAAAAAATCAAATTTCTGCAAACCTCTTATTTTTTTTTTTATAAAAATTGATTAATGTAGATGTAATTGCCTTTAAAATATTTAATAAACCCACTTTTATTTCAACATATTTTCGCAACTTGAAAAGCTGTCAAAATTTGTAAAAGAGTTTAATGTGTCCTCTCTCCTATATGATGATTACTGATCTTTTTCACATTTTAATACGAAACATTATTTTATTTATAATTTCTATTTATTATGGATGAATCATAATTCTTAGAACAATCCAACAACAATGAATCTTTTTGCGTAAAATTTAGTTATTGTAAATGCAAATTACCTAGATTATCTAGTTCAATTTCCAGCTTTTAGTAGTAACATCTTTCCAATGTATAATTTTAGGTATACTTTATGTAACCAAAAGTATAGTGTTATATAGTTATAAGTTTTTAAATAATAATAATGTATTAGTTGTTTTAATTTACTGTTTCTATTCATTCCCTTCTTTAATTAGTTTAACCACTTCCCAGTTTTGACCGAACACCGTTCGGGTACTTGAAAAGGGGCCTTGCCTGTTTTGCCAGAGCGCTGCTCGTGCGACTGATTTTTTTACTCTATTGCAATGATTTGCCCAAATTTTTTCTTTCTTTAGTTTACAATGTTTCTAACAGATGGCTCTGGTAGTCCAGTAGAGGTATGATTGCAAAAGGTTTTGGCGCTTTTCTTTTACGCGGGAAAAGGCGTGAATTTTGTTTTCACTAGCTTAGTAGGAAAGCCAACTTTAAGTAAAAATGCAATTTTTTTGCTCTAAATGAAAATTATTTCATGAAATCAATAATTGTAATAGTTTTGACTCTTGATTTGAGTTTATATTATCAATTTTAACAGAAATTTGTTTCTCAAAAATATGTTTATTTTTGAACCCAATTCGCCAGAAAAAAGACGCTGTTAAGCGGTTAAAAGTTATGTGAATATCACTTATTAGAGTGAAAACATCACTTATGTCTGCTTGACATATTTGTCATTCGCTCTGTTTTTTTTTATTCTCAGTAATAAATATTCTTTTTGTTCAATTTCATTTTTTAAAAAACTACATTGATGTTGATATTCTCATAACTACAGTAAAACCTTTAAACAAAGCCTATGTGGCCCATGTTGAGATATAGCCTCTATTCCTAATTATTAACAAATTGGCTGATCAACATATTAAAAATGAATAAATTTCAATGAATGAAAATGTATATTTCCAAACAAAAATTCATTAATGTATGGTTATGTACCTTTTATTTATTATCATATTTAAAAATTACATTCAAAGCTTTAAAAAAGAAGTATTTTCTTTTTCCCCAGACTCATAATGCCAATAAATTCATTAAGCTTTCTGCAAAGCAAGTAGTTAACTATTTGAGCAGAACTCCATCAGCATTGCTATTCTGCTAGGTTGATTTATTACTCTTCATTTTATCTACAACAAAACTGATTCATATTATGATAAAATTCTTTAACAATGTACGTAATGCAACAACCAATGAGGAAAATATATTTAGTAAAGGTCTATTGAAATTATTGCAAGAATGAAATAAAAAGGTTGTCAAATAAAATTCAGACTAGCAGCAGGTGACCATAGTTAAGAAATTGTTGTTCAGAGGTTCACCATAAAGTTTATCCCATGAAAGATCTTTAGTTTCATCATAGGCCAACGTTGTTTAGAGGTGGTCATTAAATGAGGTTAGAATTTTTTTTTTCTTTTTAACTTTCAGATGTGAAATAGCAGAATCTGCACTTCCACCATTAAATAGTGCATTTAATCAATAATGTTTGTTGTGGATAAAATTAAATAATTAACTATGACAATTCTTTATATTTTTAGACTTCACATATTTAGACTTTTTAATTATAAAAAGATAAAATAATTATCTTGAATAGAAAAGTTTTACTTTGTATTAATGATACAATTGAAAATATTAAATATGTAAAAACAATAGTATGTTTGAGATAAAATTTTTTTGTTTGTTTTTAATCTCTAAATATATTTTAGGTAGTGCCTGGATATGGCCATGCAGTGTTGAGAAGAACTGATCCCAGATACATTGTTCAACGAGAATTTGCTTTGAAACATTTACCACATGATCCATTATTTAAGTTAGTTTCTCAACTGTACAAAATTGTACCAAATATTTTATTGGAGCAAGGAAAAACCAAAAATCCCTGGCCTAATGTTGATGCTCATAGTGGTGTTCTCTTAAAAGTTAGTAATATTTAATCAAAAGTTATATATATATAAGTATTTTATTATTATTGTTGATTATTTTTTATTGAAAAAGGTTGATGTTCTAAGTTCGATAACATTAATAATTCAAAAATTTTAATTAAACATGTTTAATTACTTAACTGAATATAAGAAAAAATTATGCTGTTTGATTCAAAATATCAAGAATCTTTTTGTAATACAGAATTTATTTATGGGAAGATCATACTTTAATTTTGATACTTTAGGTTATTTTTCAACAAAAGATATTTTACAGTAAAAATATTTTATAAAGATTCCTCATCTGGTAACACCCTTTCTTCAAAATAAGTTTATTAAATGAAAGTTGCTATCTATGTATATAAAGTTTCTTTGCCGTATAAAGTTATGTAATTTTAATTTTCTGTTAAATTCTTATTAAAAAAAGATAAAATATTTAACAATTTATTAATTTAAGTTAATAAGATAAAATTTATTGTACAATTAAATTTCAGTGCATAATTTCCAAACATAATTCTATACTGTAGATTATTTCTGTTTACAAGTATCTTTGGACCAAATTTGCAAACTTCATAGTGGGCCAATGAATAAAATCAAGACATTTTTAATAAAAATTAGAATATTTTGTGAAACAATTTACATATACCATGATACTTTTAAAAAGGCAAACAGCTAACTAAAAAAGTATAATTTTCTCCACTTTAGAGTAATGTATGCAAATTTTCTCACAAAAGAATAAAACATCATTTTTAATTCCAGAATTTGTTTAGAATCTAAATTTTCATCATTTAAAAATTCTATTATTGTATTGTTGATCATCACCATAAAATTTTGATAATGGGAAATTTTTAATTGAGTTTCCTTTTTATAGAATGATTTAATTCCCAATGAGGTTGAAACAATGAATCCTGTGCGTAAGGCTAAATGCCTAAACCATATATATATAATTAGTAGATGATCCATAACTAGGAATTATCGAATTATGCATTATCAATTCAAATAAAAAGATATTGGATCAAAAATTCAAATATTAGAAAAGGAGATTTTCTGAAAACATGAAAAGCAGGGCATCAAGATAAAAAACAAGACTTAAAAAAAAAATTTTTTTTAAAGTCATATACATGATTTAAACACAAGATGAAGTATAAACTTAATTATATGTAATTAATGAAACAAATAACATACATTCTCATTATATGTGAAGTTATTGTACCAAGTTGAAGATAAAATGTTTAACCATAAAATAATTAGTTCATTAAGTAATAAAAAAATTTTATGTGATTTTAATTAAGTAAATTTTAGTTGCACACTTCTTATCAGTAAGACTTTTCTGAACATATGAAAGTGGAGTTTACCCTTGAAAGAATTTTTTTAATATATATTTGTATTAAAAATATTATTTAATATATATTTGTATTTATAACTTATCAGTTTAAAATTGTATTAAGGATGTAACATTTCTAGATTTTTGACCCATAATTTAAAGTGTATTATTTCATAAAAGATATATTTTAGCTTTATTATTATTTTAAATTAGGTTAAAATGTTATTTTATGCATTTTTTTTGTCTTTTTGAACCATATAAATTTTTTTCTTTTATTCACCTTATTTTTCTTACTACATACCTGTTTTACTTATTTTATTATGGCTGCATAAAATTTTGTTTACTTACAAATTATATTTATGTTTCTCTCTCTTAGTATTATGGTATGTCTGAAATGCAGTACTATACTGTTCTTTTTGGAGTTTCTCGAGCACTGGGGACAATGGCCTCATTGGTCTGGGATCGTGCTCTCGGCCTTCCGATCGAAAGACCAAAATCTATGACTACAATAGGACTTATGAAGGTTACAGGAGCAATATAATAGGAAATTTCCACTGTAACAACTAGTGTTTGTAGTAATTCTTATACTCTGGGAAAAAATGTTCTAATGTTTTATGTGTTGTTTCTAATCTTAAAAAGTTCTGATTGTAATTTAAAGATATAAGAAAGAAATAATATATAAATATAAAAAAAGTATGCCTTTAATTATAATATGAAATCAGGGAAAGTGAATGTATGATTTGTGTGTCACAGACTAAGCTTGACAAGGAGTGGCAAACCTTTTTATGTTACTGTGCCAAAAATGAAAACAATAATTATGTACAGAAAACGGGGCTTCATTGAACTCAAATTATTGACCTGGTTCAGCTTTAGTTCCTAGAAAATATTTATTTTTAAACATATAGAAATAAATTATAACAGAATTTTGTCATATTAAAGAAGGCAATTATCTTGTTTGAAATAAAATTAAAGCTAATTTCAAATTATTTTATTAACATTTTTCGTTTTTAAATAATAAATGAGGAATATTTTATGCCTGCTCCATATTTAAAGACTTTCAGCAACATACTTTTTGTATGGTAGAGTTAACTTTTAAATACACAAATTCATAAGCATACCCAAGAAAAGATGTTATATGAAATTGCATGGTTGATTTCAGCTTTATAAGTTTAAATTTTTATCATTGGCAAAACTATCTGTTATACGGATACTATTGGTAGAGATCAGTGTGGTTTTAAGGAGGGATAAATAAAGCATAATGAAAACTGAACTTTTAAATTATCGTACTGGAAACATTTCTTTCTAGAAACAATGACAAAATTGTCATAGCTTTTCCTTTTTGTAAGTGCTAACAAAATTTCTTTGAATACTATCCCTGGCATGCATGCCATACCTGTGCTAAAAACCATCCTGAATGCAAAATGTTCGAAAACTTACAAGATGGAAAATCATGCAAATTCATACATTATATATATCATGAATTTGTTTAATTATATCAGATGATATTTTATTGTATTATCAAAGGTAGTAAATGTTACATTTAAAAATTAAGAGATGTTTTCTGATAGGCATTCATTGATCTTTTGAAATTCAAAATTCTATTTTAATCAGGTCAGGACATAAATGGTACTTTAGGATTATTTAAAAGCCTAACATTTTTATCTCTAAATAATATTTAAAATTCAAGTACATAAGCAATAACATTATAAACATTAGATGTGTATGGTAGAGAAGGATGTATATAGTTCATAAAAGTAGTAAAATATTTCCCAAAGCTGCAAAAAGCATTAGTAACTACAATATAACTAACTAAAGCTTGTAAGTGTGCAAATGTTAAGTTTTTTTAAAAGAATTTTAAGATTTGGAATAAAAAATTTTCGAGTATAGCTAAAATTAACTTAGCAAAATAGAAGTCTTTAGGAAGTTAAGACAATTACTAGAATGAAGAATATGCAGCATTTTAAAATTTTATTCACAAAAAGTATAAATTTTATTTGCTAATCAAATTTTTTTTTTTAAATATTACAAATTGCCTTCATAAATATGACAAAATAAACTTGTGATGGATTTATTAATAAAAAGCTACAACTGCCTCTGATGTTATTACACAACTCTATATTGTATTACTTGTAGGTATAAGCATTGGCCTTAGTAATAATACACAACGCATATGGGACGGCGCCTCTTAAATTTTTCAGTTTGAATGCTGATGTTCGCCTTATAAGTCAGGTGATCTCTGAAACTAGGAAAGTGGTTTAACAGGTCCTATTACTTAAGAAGCTCTGCTTGTTAAGTAATAGGACCTGTTTTGCTTGTATGTGTAAGAAAAGGAAACCTTTTTGCACATTTCAGAACTGGTTTTTGTTTATATTCAGAACAAAGATGTGGCCATCATAAAGGGGAAAAAAAAATTTTGTTTTATGCTCGGTTAACGTTAATATGTCACAAAATGAAATTTTGACTTGTTCATTGTGCATATTTTTTTTTATACCTCAATACAAAACTTTCAGGGAAAAGTTAGTAATAAAAGAAATTTGATAGTTTTTAATTGTAAAATTTAGTTAAAGGCATATATATATATGCTCACCATTGACGATTAGTGAATTTTGAGTGGCAACGTATATGCTTATCTTTTTAATTAAGAGCTGGCAATTTTTATATTTTATTATTTTCAGAAAATTTAGCCTTGAATGATATTTTCCCCCTGTTTTTGCAACAATTTTTGGAGAAAAAATCCTATTTTCTTTCTTATCTTTTCACAATTGATTTCTGATTCCCTGTTTGATATATCAAGTTAATAAAAATAGGAATTTTAAAAAATTATGTTGAAATCCATAGAACTCACTGCAAAAAACTTTGATTTCTCATATGCAAAAATTGAGATTTCTGAGTAATAGTTTAGTTTTAAAAATAATGTAGAAATCTATAGCTGCTGAATAATTGGTTAGAGAAAGCCATGTTGAAATAGCTTGGCTTATGTCAAACGTGTGCGACAAAAAAAATATCATTCAAATGCGCAATTTGGAATATGTAATATAATGATGTCATAATAATTTGTAAAAAGCAGGAACATTTGTTTTTATCCACAGCAACTGCGTAACTATTGTGCTAAGTTCAGGATTTCAGAATTTTTGCAGGGCCAACAGATTCGAAAGTTTTGCCGAATTTTACAATAAAAAAAAACCTGCTATCGTGAAACCACAAATTCTTAGATAAAATACATAATTTACTTTGAAATTACACATAGATATTATAAATTCTAAAGATTTTTATTATTCTATACTTCTCTTAAAAAGCTTTATAATATTTTATGTGTAAATATTTAATTTATTTTGTAATAAGCATTCCAAGTATGATATATTCCATGAAATTTCAAAGGCAAGAAACTAGAAATGGGAGAACTGCTAATATATTTACTGGCTACCAACATTTTTCGATCACTGTGTAGTTAGAACACATTAAATCTTACATTGCAATAAAAGAGTACTTTATTGTATCAGAACTAAATTTCATGAAAGATTTAAAATACATGTTCATTCTACAAAATTTAAAGTGTTTGTGTTGAAACCTACTTGTACAAATGAGAAAAATATTTATATTGTTCTCACTTTATATTTTGCTAATAAAGATTTTTGCTTAATCAAATAAAGATAGATTTTTTTTTATAATGAATAACATTTTAATTATTTGCTTATGTATCAATTTTCTACTTCATGAATTGAGAACATAAATAAGAGATGTTTTTCCAATTTTCAAAATTAATCATTTTAGGATTTTTTTTTAAAAATTTAATAGTGTGAATTAAATTTGCTTGTGTGAGATTATTAATTGTAAGAGTTTAAGTTAGTGGTGTGAGAATAGATTTTAAAAAAAAAATTTCTTACAGGAAAAATGCTTTTAAAGCATAGTAAATATTTATTTTAAAAGTTATATTTAGTTCAATAATAATAAATTGTTCGATTAAATATTCTTACTCATATTAATTTAATACATTAAAAAACCAAAAATGCAAATATAAAATGCTTAAAATAAATAGAAATTGAAAAATAAAACACTAAACTCAAATAAACTTTATACAAATTTTTAATGGAATAGATACACATAGATTTGAAACAAATTGGACAGAACAATTTGGAAATGACGATCACTAAGCAACATCATCTTATTAATGTCCATACCTGAAAGAAAAGATAAACAAAAATATAGATAACCAACAGCATTGATATGAAAATCAATAATTTAAAAAAAGAGAAATATATTTACTTTTGAAATTCCCATTCACGATTATCTAGTGGACACACTTGTCTAGTTTTTAACCACCGAGATATACAATGAAAGTGAAAGGCATGCTGAAAAAGCAACAATGAATCAGATATATTTTTAACATTTTAGCAAAAGTATTTTTATAACAGCAAGAGTAGAAATAATTAACATAATGAAAATAAAACAAAGATGTAGTAAATATAAAATTAATACAGCTAAATTAATACTTTATTTTGCCTTTAGAATATATTTTCTAATCAATTTATCAACATGCCAATGAAAAAGTAAACCATATGTGTTATATACACAGAGCACAATTATAAATTTTTAACCTTAATAAAATCATGGACTATTCTTTTATAATATTACATGATGAAAAACTTTCAATAAATTAAATTGAAAAATATAAATATGAATGAAAACTTATCAAGATTTAGAGAATTAATTTATACCAATGCTTGTAAAATTTTTTTAAATACTTTAATTAATTAGACTTATTAGAATAGTTAGACTTTAAATAATTACTAAATTTTACAAATTAAGTAAATTTATTTTAACAAAGAAAATTATCAATATTTATACCAATCCATTTCATCATTGAAAATTGCAATAACATTTTCATAAATATAATGAAATGTAGGAGTATCACAGAAAACTAACTAGTGTCTCAAAAACAATAACTTTGAACATAAACATTGGCTCATCAGATAAATTTCCATCAATACTTAGTAGTCAAATGAAAAAAAAATATTTGCAGTTTAAAATCTTTTACTACTTGTATAAGTATCAATAACTTAAAAACTTAACTTATTCTGTTTCACACGTTTTAAATAATTTTTAAAGCTTTGTAATTCAAATAAAATATTAGTGAACTCAACATTAAAATTTACTATATGTTGGATTTAACTTTGCAATTTCATACAACATTGTAGAATAATTTTTTCATTCAGTTATTAATGTTTTAAACATCAAAATTAAACATGAGTTTTGAAAACTCATCATTTTTAGATAATTTTGCTCAAAAATTCATTCATTTTTTAACTTGATGTTGCCAGTGAAATAAAGCAGAAATAAAATAAAGAATTAAAATTACTGTATTTGGAAGCAACTTACATTGCAAACACCCCAAGCAACTGTGCATTCTTCACTTGTGGCAGATGCTTGATTAGCTTGACACTCAATACCTGAAAAGTTATATGCACGTTTATATAACTAATAATAACAATGTGATATTTGACAAAACAAAGTACTTGTTTAAATTATTCAATTTATACACGTGGTTTGCTTGGTTGTGCTATCTTAGCAAGTTTTGCCACAGATTTCCAAATGGTTTTTAAAATATCTATATTTTAATATGCCATTATAATATACCCCGAATTCTGAATTGTGCATTTCAGTCAGTAATCATACATCAATCCACACGATTAGCAACGATTCCTCAGTGTATCCAAGTGGTTTTGACAATGGTTTTTTTCTTTGCAAGTGATTAAAAAGTTTTTTCACTTGGTTTTTAAAATCTCATTGTTTTAATACCATATTATCTTTTTCAGCAAATTTTGAATTGCACATTTAGCACTCAATTATTGATGATTAATCCCATGTGGATTTACGATCACATTTTTGTCAGTTATTGCCATGCATTTTCATAGCTTTTAATGCTACATTATAATACAGGAAAAAATTCGAATTGCGCATTTTTAGAATTACTTTTGATGTACTTGTACATATGGTTTCGTCGATCGCATTTTAAACAGTTTGGAATTGCCACATAGTTTTTAAAATTTATATTTCATTTTTAATATAATATTATTACAATCAGCGAATTCCGAATAACGAATCAATGACCTGCTTTAGTTGTGACAATTTAATTTCAAACCCAGAATTTTTTCAAAATGTTAAATTTTTGTGCACTTTGTAATTGAGTCTATGATTCTTGACAGTTAAAATCTTTTTATGAAGACATGAAAAAAAATACTGGATTTTTTTTTTTTGTGGTGTAGTGAAATAATGGATTTTGTTTCGAAATATCGAATAGTTTTTTCACATTACAGCGGAAATGGGATTAAAGTTGAAAGTCTGGTAAAAATAATAAAGAAGAGGAAAAGCCCAAGATTCTTATCCCTGCATACTTTTCTTTAACAGGTTGCAAGCGTAAAAAAATTATTATTTTTTTTTTTTGAAGAGGGGAAAATTTTTATGTTTATTTTAATTGTTAAAGTGTTCGGAAGAGACCCTTTCGGTGAACGGACGTCCGGATATAAGATCTCATACTGTACATAAAAGAAAATAACAGTCAAAATTGCAGTAAAATTGTTTTTGAAAAGATTTGCATACAAAATAAAAACAAGCAAAATTCATCAAAATTTTAAAAAAAGGAGCATTTAAATACTAGCTTCACACAACACATGTTTGTATTTCCCAAAAATATTGTTCTCGTAGAAATAAATTATTTATGTTGTTAATTGTTTATTTCACAGAATCTTTTCATCTAATAGGTAATCAGATTTTTAGTTTTTCTTCCGGGGTTTTTCTAATAAAAATATCAGCTAGTAGATGACTGTTGGATAAAATATAAATTATTGAACACAATGTTATATTAATTTTATTTTTTTCACTAAACTTTTTTGGTAATTTAAAAAAAAAAAAAATATTTAATGTAGTACTGTAAATATACTTACAAATGATGTATATTTTAAAAACTTAAATAAGCCACACAAGTATATATCAATAATAACAATCATGATGAAGTATTAAAACTTACATAGATCCATAATGTGATTTCTACAGATAGCACAGTTATCGACCACAATATCTAGAATCAAAAACACAATATCAATGCAAGAACATCAAAACTTAATGTAAGAAAAAAGGGAGGAGACAAACTCTTTTAAAGGTCTCGTATGTTAGAAAAATCAATATTTCAATTATCAATATAATGTTACATTTTTCACCAACTAAATTGCAAGTTTTAAGAAATCTAAATAAGCTAATTACTACTTTTAAATACATATTTAATAACTGTAAATTAAAATTTTTTACAAAAAGTAGCTCTCAATTAAATAAAATTCTAAGTAAAAAAATGTCATAATACTAAATTGCAATTGGCGTCTGGTAGCGCCTCACGTTCTCGTGCCACAGGTCATGGGCTTGATCCTTGGACCAAGCAAAGTTGACTCAGCCTTTCATCCCTTCAGTAGGTCGATAAAATGAGTACCAAGCATTCTTGGGGACTAAACACAGGGGGTTCCAACCAGAACAGCTGCAACTGCACCCCAGAGCCCAAGGTCAAGAAAACTGAGATGGGTACAGTAGTCCTTGGCACCCTATGGGCTGCAGCGCCACTGAGTTTAGACTTTTAGTAAATTGTAAAACTGATAAAAAAATTGTAATTTTTAAAAACTATTCACTTTATATGACAATATTTTATTACATTAAATATTACAATTTTCACTGAAGCAAATAATTCAAGAGAGTAATTTTAATTTAGTTTTACATAAAAATAAAATATTTACTAGTGTATATTTTTAGGCACTGCATGACCAGCTTCGTAAAAAAAGCTTCAATTAGAAAAACTAAAAAGCCTAATTTTTTTTGGTGTGTTTCTTGAAAATCTTAACATAGGTAATACTTAAAAAATAATCACTTCACTCTAGATAAGAATGAGTTTTTTTAATAGTACATTTACTATATTTTCCTCCTGAAAAAGTTGAAGCAAGGTGCTTGAACATAAGCTAAACATTCATAAATTGACCATTCTAAGAAAAGATAACTAGATATGAACATTGTAAGATCAGTTCTTTAAAATTAAGGTGAAAGGTAAGAAATTGATGTCTTGTGGAAAGCTCAGTATAAAATTTGAGAGCTACTTTTAGCTTGCAGGTCATAGATTGCAACATACAGTAAATTTTTTATTATTTCTGGAAATGAATGTTAACTTAATAAACCAACCAATTGTGTAAGAACCTTACAAACTGGTAAAACAAAATTGTCACCTGTAAATATTTTTTGAACTAAACACAACTAAAATTGTTCACTTAGGATGATAAGCTTAGAAAGCCATCTTACCTTTAACTAGCACTTTTTAATACAAATTAAATTGCCATCCTCAAAAACACAAAAAAGAAAATTATTTAGACATCAGATAAAAACATGAAGTGATAAAATCACATGGGGACAAAATATTGTGAGACAGAATCTCATTAGCACAATATAATGTCATAGTGAAATTTTTTTTCAATATAAATTCATTCTTTTCTCTTTGTTTACACGAATAAAATATTATGAGATAGTATCTCCCTCAGACAGAATACCACAAGACAGATTTATACAGATTGAATATTGTGGAACAATAACTTGTGCAGATATTGTGGGGAGTGGAGTATTATTTTTAAAAATACAAATAATGGTATTTATAAATTGCAAGACACATACAATTTTTTCCTAGAACTAATGTGTAATCAGCTAACTAGATAATCCAGAGTTTATAGTAATCAAATATTTGTTTATAATTTTAATGATATTAACTCTACTGTAAAAATTGCAAAATATTAAAAGTGAATTATGACGAATATTGAACCTAAAAATTTTTAACAAGAAAAAAAGAGGAAGATTTAAGTGCATTAAAACTGGCGAAATGATAGAAATCTCATGTTCACAAAAATGAAAAGTGTTAAAGAAAATTTTTACAAATATTGTTATTTTCCCATAAGTTGAACTATATCCCATAAGTTGAACTATAGTTGTATAAATAACTTACATAATTTTATAACTTTTTTTTAAAAATTACATGATAAAATCAAACATTATAGAATTGGTTTTTGATTTATTATATTTATTGCACTCACCCCAAGCCCAAAGTGCAACAGCATTCCACTAAAAAAAAAAAAAATACAAAAGTGAATTATAAATACAAAATTTTATTGTTAAAACAAAATTTGATAACAAAAAATTATTTGGCAGGTGTAATAATTATGGGGGAACATGAAATAAAAATACAAAGTATAATATAAATATCACAATTACACTGTTAAAAAAGATTAATTTTTTTAATAAATATTAAATTTTCTTCATATATCAAAATAATATAGATTCACATCTCGATAACAATTAAAAACATATTAATTTTTCACCAAAAGCATAATGGCTCTTGACCAGTACTCCTCTAAACTGGTTGCCAAAACTTAATGAATAGTAGAGAACCAGGTAGTTGCACAACCTTTTCCTTCATATCAATTGCCTGATTAATTCTCTATTGATGGAATATATAATCTTGAAAAAAATCCTCAGTCAAAAGCTTTAAGGTAAAAAAGTTATTTTTTGCAAGCCCTAGATACAATTTAGAAGAAATTTTAGAGGGTGAAGAAAAGAAAGAGAGCAAAGGTATTTTTTGACACTTATTTGGAGAAATAGTAAGAAGAAATTCGTCACAATTGCAAAAAATTGAGTGCTTCTAAGAAACGTTAACAGTTCTTTTCTCGTTAAAACGAGAATTAAATTTATAGTAACAAGATTAATACTAGATTTTGTTATTATAAATATAATTAATGACCGTTGCTCATTAATGTTAAACAATGATCACGATATCCTTGATAAAAAGGAAACTTTAATAAATCGAAGAATTTCACATTAAAGTGATATACATTTAAATCATTTCTAAAGGTGCTAAGTGTGTTACCTATAGCCAAGATATCAATCATACGTTAATAAGCTATTATTATTTGAAAAGGGGATTTAGTGTGAAGTTTTTAAAATGAAGCATACAAACTGGAATAAACATGAAAACTTGATGAAGTTTTTAAAAGATAATCAAAATATCTTATGTTAACTAAAATGAAATAAATAAAATTCTATATGCATTAATAATTACTTTTTTAACTTCAAAACGCTTTTTCCCCCCTCCAGACGAACTTGCTGCAGACGGCATTTCAGTTGCTTCACTGTCAATATCATCGTCAACTTCCATTGAAGCCATTACTGATTATACCTTAAATAATAATAATATGAATATTTAACTAATGAAATATAAAGAATTTTTTTTCAATATAATATTTATACTTATTCTTTTACTTCAGTAGTGAAATTTCTGAAAAGAATCAAAGAATATCAACAAAATAGATAGAAGTAAAAGTTGTTAATATTTTCTTGAAAAATTAAATATTAAAATTATATTGACAATTTGTAAAAAGAAAAACGTTAAATTGAAATCACTACTTATTATAAAGATTTAAGAGATCAATTTTCGTCCTAATAATATAATCAATTTAAAAAAATTCACAAATTTTTGTGATTTCTATTTAACTGTCACCTTGATTCTTATAAATTGATCACGCATGTTTATTTTCGTTTTGTCCGCTGAAAGAAGTATGAAACCAAAACACCGATTTTTAAATGAACTTATAAATCAATAGAATATTAGTTTCAATTGATCGTAAAAATCAATAAAATGAATAAATTTAAGTCGTTAAGTGGTTAGTTCTATCATGTGACTTTCATTTTAAAATAATCTTTATTTCACATTAAAATTTTTCAATGCATTTAAATTATGTACATCTTCAGAAAAATGCAAACATTTTAGCTCTTTTTCTTCATAAAATTTTAAAATTTCTTATTTTGTGTTTCATCATTACCATAAAACCACTTTGGCAGTTTATTTTGATTTTACTTAAAAAAATTATATTTAACTTATATATATATCATCATATATATATATATATATCATATATCGTATATTATTTGTAACTATTTATCTTATCGATTCCTGTTATGTTTCATTGAACTCAACAGCCCTGTTGTACATTAGAACTCTTGCAACTTCTGATTTATTCAACAGAAAATGTACTTCAAATGTTCAGATAGCCAAGTAAAAACTGTTCTAGGTTATCTCAATAGTAGCCCTTTTTTTTTACATGAAACTTATTGCAACTTATAAACTTTTCGTTCTATTCGCTCGTGTTTAGTCTCATTCAATTATTTGTCTCACTTGTTTAGTTTACAGTGGCAGATGCATAAATAAGCAAAATAGTACTTTTTTGCGTATAAAACCTTTATAACTTCTAAACTATTGGTTTAATCTTTTCATGATTCGTCTCATTCTATTCAGCATTAAAATAAACTTATATAGTTCCTCACTTAGCTGTATCATTGATATGCAATAGCATAAACATATGACAGATTCCTTTTCACTCCAAATTGGAGCATAGAGCTTCGTAGCTAGATATGTTGCCTCTCTCTCAGGGTTGGGTTTTTGACGTCAAAAAGTGGTTTTTGACATGACAAGGGTATAATACTGGTTTAAACAGACAAAAACTGAAGTTTGCCAATAAAATATATAAACTTCAAAACTACCAACAGTTGCCATGCATAATATTGAAATTTAATTATGCTATAGGTAATCAGCAGGTTTTAAAATATTTTTTAATTAAAATTAAGGTAAAATAACAGATTTAAAATCTCAGAAATTTATATTCAAATGCATGTGCAGAAAAATTTTGCACAAAANGAAAATACAGAAAGCAGTTTAAAAGATACTTATTTTGTTAGATTAAACAAAAAACTATAATTAAGTAAATGTAGTTATACTTCAGTAAAATGTACAAGCATTCTTGTCCATGTTTAAAATTTAAAAAAAAAATTTTTTTTTTTAAATTTGAGACATGGACAAGAATGCTTGTACATTTTACTAAAGTATAACTACATTTACTTAATTATAGTTTTTTGTTTAATCTAACAAAATAAGTATCTTTTAAACTGCTTTCTGTATTTTCCATTTTAAAGATGGGTTTCAAAATGTGCACATTTCTGCAAAGATCCCCTCCTTCTCTTAATAATAAATATTTTGAGTTACTTTCTTTTTCTTTGATATAAAAATAGTGTAAGTTTTTGTTTATTTCACATCTACTGTAAGCATTATATTTAATTATAGGAAACTATATCAAATGTTGCCCCCCATGGGGTAATTATTGATCACTGGGATAATTCCTGATCATTGTAATTTCTTCTTATAAATAGTATATAAAATAGCTTATAAATAGCTAATTGTCTTTTCTTAAATAACAGTTCATATTTATTAAGTGGAATTAATGTTTTGAACAAAATTTGTTTTTAACTGTATACAAGACGAAGACTGTATTCTGATTTGCACCATTTCTGGTTTGTCTTACCTTGCTTCTATCTTAATTTTATGTGTGTACATCGTTAGAATCATTTTTAAGTTTATAAATTAGCCTAGTATAATTGTTAGAATAATTTTTAAGTTTATAAATTAGCCTAGTATAAATATGGTGAGAAATTATAAGCCTAAAAAGGATACTAAGCTTCTAGAAAACAAAATTATTGAATTTCTTTTAATGATTAAAATTTCAGTGTGAAAGCTGTTGGCATACCTTACTTAACTTTACACTTTCCCTTAATGAAGTTAAAAAATCCAGCAAAAGCAACCCATGTAGGAACTGTTATATTTCAAAAGAACATGAGAATGAGTTGGCTGATTACCTAAAATGTATGGCATGATGCAAAGATTTTTGAAAATTTAAAGTGTTAATTGTTCTTTTTGCTTTTAAATAAATCGTTTTATTAGCTGCTTAAACATATCATTTTGGTTTATTGTTTGATCTTGATGTCTTATTTGTTAGTTACCATTACATAATTATTTTCAAACAGCCATCTCGATAACAATTAAAAAC